GTTCACAAATTGAATAAAGATCGATTTAAATGAATGCAGGCATCATATACACCAAAAAAGAAAAAAAAAGAATCTATCTGGGAATACTTAGGATAAAAATAAAATTGTACTTCTGCGTATTTTTTTATCTTAATAAGGGGCGCGCAAAGCAACAAAAAGGAATTCTATATATATAAAAAAAAAAACAATTTAGACAAGCTACGAAGAAATCAATAAAAAACCTGTTCATAATGTCTATTCCTTTTTAGAGGACAGAATACTTTACAGTACACTACAGTGACACTTTTTTTTCACATGTTTTTAAAAAGTGACAGAAAGCCCTATGTTTGAATTTTAAAACTGTAAGACAAACCTGTTTTCAGTGTTCAACTTCTGTGTTCAATTTGTACATTAAACCATATTAAAAAAAAAAAAAAGAAGTTTTATTTAAAATAAAATGGTCCGATAAAAATCTTAATGTTTTAAAAATCTAGTTGCAAACATTTTTGTTTGAACGACAAATAAATTAATTTACTTAATAAAACATGACACACGTGTCTGCACCACGCACATATTTTGGAAAGGCAAGGAGAGACGTATTTAAAAAGAAAATGCCTCGTTAGATGTTTTATTTGTTTTGTTTCTAAAAATACTGTCAACATTATCATTTAAAATCAGCTGGAGTATTTTTTTTTTTTTTTGCCTGGCCGGAGAGGGGGTGGCGTATATTGTTATTAGTAATTCACAAATAGATGTCGTTGCAAATAATGGTGCTAAAATTGGTGTTCTTTACCAAATAACATGGATCAATTATTCGTTTCTTGCTTCTGTGAATCGGGGGAAAGAAAACATTTGTGGGGGACAAACAAGACAAGAAAAACATAAAACGAAGACTTGCGACCACATGCAGACAGGTGTGCTAAGCAATGATTTTATTTTTTTAAGTAAGGTGTTTCTTTTTTCAAATATTTTCTCTGTGAATTCACTGTGTGTATAATATATTTTTTTATTTTTTTTGAAGAAAAAAACACACATTTAAACTAAAGCAATGTAAGCAAAATCTGAGCCAAAAACTACCATTAAAGAGAAAAATGAACATAAAAGTTAAAACATTTTAAAAAAACACGCATCTTGTTAGTTTAATTAATATAAAATTATGTTAAAGTTAGTTATTGTGAAAATATTTAGGAAATGTATGTATAGAACTTCGTTTTGAAAAAAAAATATAAGAAGAACTAAAAACGAAATTGCTATTTTTAAAACAAATTTATTCTATTTAATTTAAATTTTAATATTTTTTTTAGCTGGAAAATGATTTTTTTCTAATACTTAACTTAACTTAACTTTTCATCTCATTTTCAGCAAATTAAAATCAAACTCGTCATTTTTTATTGTTAATTCAGTCAATTTTATATTTTATTCTTGTCAATATTTTTTTGCGTAATCTACAGAATTTGGCGCAGTGATTTTATTTATTTATTTTAATAAATTAAGACACTTTGCTGCTAGTTACTATATAATAATATAATATAATATAATGAAAATGTGATCCGTGAGAGACGTGAGTGAGTAATAATTACATTAACACACCTGATGGATTTCGCTTCATCCATAATTATAATAATAGTCAAATTCAAATACTTGTAAAATTATGTGGCGGTTTTTATCAATGACTGTTAGTGTTGTTAGTGTTACTGTTTGTTACTCTACCTGGGGGTTGGTGGTTCTGTCAAGAAAAAGAGGTCAATTGCTCCCCAGCCGCTAGTTCATAAGACAAATCGGAAAAAAGAAAGACAATGGAAAATAAATGAGGATTTATAAGTCGTTCGTCACGCAGGTACTGGTCCTTATTGACCTAAAACTGCACTGCCATCTTTTCCGGTAACTGTTTTCATTCATTCTGTCTTGAAACGTTCCGTTATTAGTTCTGTTTAAAAGCTGTTGTTTTTGTAACTGTGCAAAATATAAAATGTAAAATTCGTCTTACGTTTTTAAAATAAAATCATTTGTTTTTGACAGAAATCGAAACGTCTATATAGCCAAAAAAACAGTAAAAGGATTTTTTTTATTTGTATCATATTGCGTGTTTTTATGTTTTTCTTTTAATTTCGAGCTTTTTCTTTTTGAAAGGTCGAAAAAAATAAAAAATACTGCTTTAATTTCTTAACAGTGACACTCAGTACCCTCATCAAAACAACAACAACAAAAATCACTTCTAATAATATATGCATGATTTATTTGGGGTCTGGAGAAGGGTACTCGACATGTCGTTGAGGAATTCTGGAACTGAAAGGAATGATGAATAGAAAAATCTTCTTCTTATGGTAGCAAGTCAGAAAGAAACGTAAAAAAAAAAAATGACGTTTAAAAATAAATCAGAAATTTTATTAATAAAAATGAAAACTACAAACAAAACACGTTTTCCGACTGAATATATTTTTTTTATTTTCCGATGTAATTGTGGCGTAAAAAATGATTTACGTTGTTAATTTTATTTAAAACATTTTCACATAATGAGGCAAGGTAAAAAAAAAAAAATCGTTTCCACACATTATTGTAATTAAAGACCGAAAAAAAAATGATTAATAAAAAATTAATGAATTATGAACAACCATTAAATTTAAACTCATTTGAAAATTGATAACTCCTAGTCCTTTCATTTATATTTTAACAAAGGTTAAAAACATTTTCTTTTTAAAAAAAAAGTCTGCGTAATTGAAGTTCATGTTTTGTAGGGTGGGGCATAATAGGTTGTTACTAGAAGAATTGATGTTTGTTTTTTAATATTTGATTCATTGGATAATAAATTTGGACACCTTCATCGTCCAGATTTCGATAAGAATGCACCACTTAGAAATGGTTTTATAAACTGGAACCAACCATTAATAAATATTGACGTTTGCTTTGTTGATTGAATCTTTTTTTGCAAATGATTTTCCTTTTGAATGGGCTTTTAGAAATAAAATGGAAATCGTCTGCTGATAGTGACTATTATGCATTAAGCCATAACACTCTGACTTAAGAAGATTAAGAAGGTGAAGAAAGGAATTCTATATAACCGTTTTTAACATTTCTTATGCTGTACAAGAGAAAGAATCGACAAGTAATAAAAAAACAAAAAAAAAAATTCACAAAATTTTGGTCTGTTGATTCAAATAAAATTTCTAATTTTTTAAAATAACATTTAAAAATGTTTTCATATATTTAGTTTTTTTCTAGTGTAAAAACAGCTTAAAAATTGCTTCAACATAAAATGTAAAAGAAAAAAAGGCTTTGAAATGATTTTAATTTCTGAATTTTTAGTTCTTTTCATTTTTCAATTTAAAAGAAGCTTCTGCTATTTATTTACTTTTTCTTTATTGAGCGTCGAACATTCAGTTATTTATTTATTTATATAAGCTTTATTTTTTTCTTTAATTTTCACCCCCCCCATGTTGTTGGTATCAATTTATTTATGGATAAAGTATTTAATTTGTATTAATTAAATTAAATTAATTAAAATAACCCGATTTTTCCAGCTTCTCTTCACAACTTACGATTATTTGGTCACGTGACCACATGTTCATTTTTCGCCACTGCTTTCCCAGCTGTCATAGCTGGGTTAATTAATTAATTGAATTTCGTTAATTGAGTTCTACTGTTTTTCTCTAATGAATGAAAAAATAAACTTCTAAGTAATACTTCATTTCTCCCCCCCCACTCTTCTCCTCCCTTTTTTTCTTTATTTTTCAAAATTCGCTTTTCTAAATTTTTAAATTCATATTCATAGTCATCATGGAAAAACATTATTTTACGAAAAGCATCAGAAGTGATTTAAAAAAAAAAAAAAAAGAAGAAAAACATGATGAAATATTGTAAGCCTAATAATCTATATAACCAAAAAAAAAAAAAAAGAAAAAAAAAACAAAACTGGTTATCTGTCGGTCAGGCATTGTCTGCGTGTGACTTTGCATGTGCGTCATATGTCAATGCCAGTGTCATGTGTGAATGACTTTTATGTGCCGGTGCCATATTACCCACAATTTGACTGAGTTTGACTTTCAAATAAGACACAGGAATAATAATACATTCCCCTCCCACTCAGTCTAAACAATCTCTACCCTGGGCTGAGTAATAAGAATATATACAGTAATTATGCAAATCGGAGTATTTTGAAGAAAATAATTTTTTCTCCCAAAATTGAAAATATTTTAATAGAATTTAGTTTTAGGTTGTATATTTCGTGGTTTGTTTTTAAATAATTTTTTTTAACATATTTTTATAAACTTGAAATACAAATTATTTTCTTGATTGTTTGAAAACAATGATTCTGATAGTGAGCACTCTTAGACCAACTAAAGATTGTCAGCATAGATTTAATGCAGTTGATACAAAGTATAGTGAGCTCGCATGATTTTATTAATGTTTGTCACCATCACCCCTTTGACTGGGTGTGGTCATAGAGGTGCTATACAGCTGAGTACCTCATCAGTTCCCTCCACATATCTGGCTTGTAAGCTGTCGAGGTATTCATTTATACAAAGCAATCTACTCCCCTTGCTCACAGACACGTGGCTGTTGGTTCTATCAAGAGGAACCTTCTGCCTTGGCTGTTAACTCCTGTCTAGGAAGCTCTCTGCTTATCATTGTCATGTCATGATGGCACTGATTGCCTACATAGTTATAGAGCCCAGCCTACTCAATTGTGTTCATCACCTCCCACCCAATTTGACAGGTCATGTTTTTAGTACAGCTGGGTGTCCAGCCACCTTCCTCACTAGAAAAGCCTGGTGGGGGGAAAAGTTTAATTGTCGATGACCCGACCATGCGTCAGGTAGTATTGGGGTACATGGTACCAATATCACTCGGAGAGTGACCTGATATACTTTTACTATTCATGTTACATATTTAGAAAGGTGTGTTAGTCTGGGTACTTCTGAAACTACATATCTCTAAAGGTGTTATTTAGATGTTAGAAAAACTTGAAATGGCTTCCTCAAAAGAAAAATTTTTGATAGAAAATGAAGCTCTTTCCTTGGGCCTACAGCCATATCACATTGAAACACTGGTTTTCATATGATCACCAAAGTTAAGCAACACCGAGCCTAGTCAATACCTAGATGGATGACCACTTGGGAATACTATGTGCAGGTGACATAATGGATAACAGCTTGGAATTAAGGAGCAATGTTCTAATTCCAGTTGGGTTTGTTATATTCACTTATGCACAAATACCCTTGGGAAAGGTAGGAATCCACCTCTTCTCTCCCCCCAATTATGGGTTAATTAGTAGGACTTTTATCAATAAATCATTATCACCATAAAATTCTTAAAATGTAAAAATATTTTCTTGTTTTAAGTAACCAGCAAAATATTTGATTTATTTTGTTTAGTGCCATATCAACCTCTATGCATTATTTAATGCTGAAATTCAAATAATTTTAACACAATTTTATGGTTTCAACTAAAGATAAAATGTATTGCTAGTCATTTTGCTTTAAAAATGTATTGCTAGTCATTTTGCTTTAAAAATGTATTGTTGGTCATTTTACTATAAATATGTATTGTTGGTATTTTTAACATAAAAATGTATTGCTGGTATTTTTACTATAAAAAATGTATTTTTATACTTTCATAGTGTTTTGTTTTGGAGTTCACTATTTGCCCATAGCTGGGACCCTAACAGGTGCTACCACACTAGGTCAGGGTGGAAATGAGGTCAACAGCAATTAAGAGGTGGTTCCACACTCCACAAAACCTCCAATCTCCCAGTCAGAGGTCTTGCTACCGGATGTAGCTTATCATCACACCCAGGATTAGCAAAAGGTTGATAAGCCATAAAAAAAAACAAACAAACAAAGGAATCCATCAAAAGGTTCTTTTTTTCCTTGTGGAATGATTTCAAGAGATCTGTGAAATGTCTTGCTAGGCACAAGAAATATTTGTAGCTTGACAGATGGTGACAGTGAATTAGCTGTTTCCTTATAAAGAAACATTCAGCATTAATGATGGTTGGAATTTATCAAATCTTTCTCTTAAGAGTTTTTCAAGAAAATGGTTTTCTCTGCTAGCTTTTATCAGTCTTTCCAGTATTGATGGGAGTTTCCTTCCTAACCTTTTGTTTGAAGTCACGTGGAAAGTCTACATCTTAATTATTTTCTCTTCAAGTTATGTGAGATATCCATTTTAATAGAATCATTAAGAATGCATTTACATTATACATAGATCACTCCGAGTAATTCTTGCATTAATTTTTGACCACTGACAATTCCTTTATTTCTGCTTTTCAATGCATGGTAGAATCATTAGTAATGATCATATTAGACATTTCCCTACAAGAAAACATTTGGCATTCATTGACTGAGCAGCCTGTACTAATTTTGGTTGAAATTTATAAAATCTTTTTCATAAAACAATGTTTCAGGAAAATAGGTTTCTCAAGTTCAACAGCTGTTATTCATTTTCTTTTCAAGTTCCATATACAATTTTAGTTGTTGACACTGTTCAAAGTTTTCAAAAGACAGATTAATCTTGTTAAATTCTCTGAATGCTTTGAAGATTACAAAATATTTTATCTTCAATGTATTTAATGTAAATACAAATGCACGATATATATTATGTAATTATTTATGAGGTTTTCAATATCTGTCTGTATTTTTGAGATGAGGTATTGTAACTATTTACACTATTTACAAAGTTCGAAATGTTGTCCTCATCTTTGTTGTCATATTGACAGTCTATAATTCTGAGATGAGGTATTGTAACTATTTACACTATTTACATAGTTCGAACTGTTGTCCTCATCTTTGTTGCCATATTGACAGTCTATAATTCTGAGATGAGGTATTGTAACTATTTACACTATTTACATAGTTTGAACTGTTGTCCTCATCTTTGTTGCCATATTGATAGTCTATAATTCTGAGATGAGGTATTGTAACTATTTACACAGTTCAGACTGTTGTCCTCATCTTTGTTGCCATATTGTCAGTCTATAATTCTGAGATGAGGTATTGTAACTATTTACACTATTTACATAGTTTGAACTGTTGTCCTCATCTTTGTTGCCATATTGATAGTCTATAATTCTGAGATGAGGTATTGTAACTATTTACACAGTTCAGACTGTTGTCCTCATCTTTGTTGCCATATTGTCAGTCTATAATTCTGAGATGAGGTATTGTAACTATTTACACTATTTACATAGTTTGGACTGTTGTCCTCATCTTTGTTGCCATATTGACAGTCTATAATTCTGAGATGAGGTATTGTAACTATTTACACTATTTACATAATTTGGACTGTTGTCCTCATCTTTGTTGCCATATTGACAGTCTATAATTCTGAGATGAGGTATTGTAACTATTTACACTATTTACATAATTTGGACTGTTGTCCTCATCTTTGTTGCCATATTGATAGTCTATAATTCTGAGATGAGGTATTGTAACTATTTACACAGTTCAGACTGTTGTCCTCATCTTTGTTGCCATATTGATAGTCTATAATTCTGAGATGAGGTATTGTAACTATTTACATAGTTTGGACTGTTGTCCTCATCTTTGTTGCCATATTGCCAGTCTATAATTCTGAGATGAGGTATTGTAACTATTTACACTATTTATATTGTCTGGACTGTAGTCCTCATCTTTGTTGTTATATTCACAATGTTTCAGCTGTTGTATGCTTCGGCCTTCTTCAGGTGATTGGGATTTTTGACTGAACCCTTTATTTCATTCATTGGGGTAGATTGTTCTAGTTCCATGACACGTGGCCCAGTGGATAAAAGCATTGGTTAAAGTAATCCAGTGACTTGACCCAAAGAGTTGTGAGTTTAACACCTGGCCACAGCAGAGGTGAACAAAAACTTGGAGGGTTGAGTTACTAAAGGGAAATAACTGAAACTGAGATATCCAGAAGAAGCATGGCATGTGGAAGTAGAACAATCTACTCCGGTGACTGAAATGAAGGGTTCGGCTTGAAATTCCAATCACCTGAAGAAGACTGGAGCATACAATGGCTGAAATATTATGAATATAACAACAAAGATGAAGACAACAGTCAACTGTAAATAGTCATGAGGCTTTTGTTTCATTAGGCAAAAGCCCTCAAATTACTTACAATACCTATCTTACCCATATGTTCATCTATGTAAGTACTGATAGGTTATAATGCTGCTCAACTTTAGTGATTAAATTTTATATTATAGGTGGGATTTGTATATTCTTTTTCTTATGTATATAAAAGTGTTCTATTTGAAATACTTCTAAAAGAACATTTTAATACATATAATACATAAAAAAAATGACATTTTTTGATGGTTTTTATTTTTTTCAAAAATCACAATGTATGAAGCACTATTAGTTGATAAATAATACTATTTTATATATATATATATATATATATATATATATATATATATATATATAATTACATGAATCATTCATACAAAAAACAAATATAGAGGTTATTGATTTAAATGGCGAGAATACATCTTCGCAAACAATTTCAATAAGATACACCAACCCCGAACTTGTATATGAATGATATGATCCCAGTTTATAAATTCCAGTTGCATAAGGTCTTTTTAATTTTTACAAGCTTTTGTCTGTTCCTACAGATATCCTCAGGTATGGAAATAGATTTGTTCTTGTTTTTACTTCTCGGTAATAAGAGGACAACGAAAATAGAGATGTAATCCGAAAAAATGCTATGAGAAATGTGTTATTACTATATTTGTATAAAAACGCACAACCTTAAAATTTAAAATTCAAACTCAGCGTTGCGACCGCACGTTCCAAAACAATAACACATTTCTCATAGCATTTTTTTGGATTACATCGGTTGGTTGCTTTTAATATAGAAGGCCTCGAGAATTTGAAGTTTTTGTTTATTATTTTCATGGTGTAGTATATTGGTGTTGTCAACAAGTATTTTCCTGTATTGTGAAGGTGGACGGGAATATGATTTTACATGTTGTGCAATAGAACTTGTATCGGACAAATAGTGTGTAAAACTCCTTAATAATGTTGTAGTTGTCAAGTCAACATATGTACTTACATTTTTGTCAGAGATACAATCTCCCAAAGGACATTTAAACTGGTATGGTGGTCTTTTCCAAAACACTAGTTGACAGAGAAGTTATTGCATATGATTAATTTGGTTGTGTTAAATTTAGTATAGTATATAGTTAGTTTTATTTTTTTTTTTTACTGGGATCAGTGGGGAATAATGTTTGTGTGTATGTAATCTCTGTAGTTGATTATTTCTATTATAAATTCTTTTTCTTCTCTTTAAGGTTTTAACTGACTTGAAACATCAAAGATTGTGACATTGGAGAAAAATTCAGTCATCTGTGACAGCTTTCTCCTCTCTAATCCTGAAACTGGATTCACGACAAAAGAAGATAAACCAACCTGAGAAAAGAAAACAAACTAAAAAAAAATACCCAAAAGTATATGCCCTCCTTTCGTCACCAATATTTTCTTTCAGTTAACTTTATTTTTCCTAAATATCTCTCTAAAATAACTTTTCCTATTTTACATACATTTTGATGACCACATTCAATTTTTAAAATTTTAAAGATATTTAATAAACATTTGCCTAATCCGGTTCGCACTCCTCCCTGGTCTTTTGAAAAGGAGTAGAGTAGGATTGAATTTCCGGTTCCTTCTAAAGTCTACTTCTACATTATACTTCTAACGTCTCCGACTAAACTCTAAAATGTTTTTTACTAATTAAATCTTGACTTCTTCAAGTCTAGAGTTATCCATTATCTTTTCTGTATAGCCCTAAGAACTTCACTTCTTGCCCTTTCTTAAACTAATACAACACTACAGAGTAATCCTCTATCTTGAGTGGTTCTTGGGCCTTGTATTGGGTGAACATTAATAAAAAAAAAATCAGGAATACTTTTAAAATTTCAATGTGTAACAATATAAAGTAGAAATATAGATATATATTTTGTGTATATAGATATATATCTATCTCTTTGTCTTGAGAGAATTTCTTTTTCTTTGACATTTTCTTTTCCTTTTTTTTTTTTTAATCAATCCCTAAATTATGCTTACACATTTCCTAATACCTATCTTCCACTGAGTGATGGCTTCTAGCTCCTTTTCTATTGATGACGCCTTTGAATCAGATGATG